GAGTTGGAATACTTTAAGCTGTTTAACACTTCTTCGATGCTGTGTAAGTCTTGCTAATCAACAACTTTTCTGTGCCGGGCACCTTGATGCAGAGTTCCCACCAGTAGCTTCAAAGTCAAATTTGAGGCATCGTGGCCCTCATCAAAATGAAGAAAGCAAAGAAACCAGCCTTTTTCTGGCCTTGAGCAATTTTTTTTCGAGTTTTCGTTGGGTTTTCTTTTTTTTTTTTGGGGGGGGGTGTTTTGGTTTGTTTGTTCAACACCTTTCAAACACATTTCTATGTGGATTTTACTGAAAAAACGTTGATCACAGGTACAAAAATAAAAAAACCAACTCTACGTAATTTTGCATTTTCAAGGACACTCAAGCTTTGGAAGTTGACCAAATTTGACGGCCATTTTCTCGCTAATTTTACCTCTGACATCAGCGATCCCCATCTCTTTCAACCGCAAATAAATATCGAATTCTTTCCAAGGCAGATGGGCATCTTTTTTTCACCAAAAGCAAGACAAACGAATGCGCTTTAGGATGATACCAATAACTCGATGCCCCAAAATTGATGAGCGCCTGATTCGACCGTGTCATGACACTAATACGTTTTCTTTTTTCAAAATTGCAAGTCGAATCGCTCGCAGTTTTTTGTTGCCGTTTTTATTATTTAAAAAAAATAAATCAAAATGATAACTTTGCCCCTCCATGGAGGAATGTCGGGCTGGCTCCGACTGAATCAAATAAATCCCATGCCAAAGCAATCTTTTATAAATCGATGTCAGACCACCAGGGGATCTTTAACGTGAGCAACTGAGATTTTTCACCCTTATCTGAGAAGGCAAAGTGTTAGATCTTACCTACCATAAGATCAGGGTTGTGGCTGAAAGACAGCAGTAAGAATGAGCCAAGAAGTAGAAGTAGAAAGGCTGCGTAAAGAATAAGGAATCCAGAGGAGGGGGCAAAGGAGGTGAGGGGGTGGGGACAGAAAGTGGAGACGAAAGCAGACGACAGAACATTTTTAGAGAGCAGGAACGGGGGTAAAAGGAGGACATTTTTAGAGAAGAAGACTTTCCGTGGCGATCCGAATTCGAACCCGGGACCTAGTGAATGAAAGGCGAACATTGTAACCTGTCGACCACGAGAGCTTCCTCCCATTGTCCATGTGCTATTGTTATTAGAATTTCAACATCGGAGTGGTTTGATCGAGCTTGCTGTCAGTCACAACAGACTCGCGAACGTTCAATTTCTCCGAATGATATCGATTGGAAACAGCCTTTTAAGAATTCGAACCTGAGTTGTTTACATCGAGTTCACGAAAAGTCTTACCAAGTAACGATCTCGGTGAAGTGATTATTCATGGCTTTCTCTAGCCTTTCCCTTGGAGGGATCTCACGGCTTGGCCCAGCTGGTCATTTCCATTTTCCACCTCAGTCTTCTCGGGGGTGGGAAAAGAGAAAAAGAAAAAGAAAAGAAAGAGAGAGAGAAAGGGAGAGAGAGAGAGAGAGAGAGAG